TGAGGCTTGCTGCAAACCCACCAGAATGTCCTACACAGGGCAGGTGTGTGATAATGATCTGCTCATTTAGTCGACAGTGTTGACTGATTGATTTATAACTGGAAAAGTCTGGGCCCCGGAGGGCAACAGAAGAAACGTGTTTTTAATGCCTTATTGTGCCAGGCTTGCCCTAAATGATTTCACAGACTTTATCTTACTTCATTCTATCAACAGCCACACGAGGCTCATGTTATTTACCCCTCCTGGGGCTGCACACGGGACCATTCAGAGGAGATGGCTCACTTAGGATCACAGCCCCAAACGCCCATGCAGCCTCATTTCCTAAAGAATGAGAACATGACCATGCATCTGCGTGCAGAGGCGTGCACAGGGAAAGGATCAGCAGTGACCATGCGTGGCTCCCTCCGACATACTGGCTGCAAAACCATCCCCTGTTGCACACGTTCAAAACCAGGCAGCTGCAGCATTTCAAAGCTCAGGAAATAAGACCCAAGAATGCAATCAGTCTAAGACGTCTTTGGTTTATCATCCCATCTTGCACTTTTTCCTTTTTTTACGATGTTGCCAACTACATAAAAGTTCAGATGCGGAAATCTAGTTACAGACCATAGGTGGGATGCTGGGGAGAGTTGCGTGGCCGCCATGATGTCCACGAGTGGGGGCGGGGAGCAGAAAGTCACCGTGAGGCCACATGAACGTCCTTCGAGAGGAAGGGGTGTGACACCTCAGAATTCTCCCATCCGTCCAAGTTCTTCCCTTCAAATCCTCCACGCCTCCAAACTTCACAGTCTTTTCCCTATTTTCCTTAATGTCCTTAATGTCCACTCAACTATTTCTTTTTATGAGGCTTTAAAACCGTGTGTGCTTCAAATACACTGACGCTACACACGAGGAGTTCTTCGGTAATATTAAGGGATGACTCTCGTAGGACTCTGTGCCTTCGCCACACCTGTATCAATATGACGGTGTAGGACACCATAGTTTGGTCTACGTGCTCCCTCCCAAATGTTCTCCGTACCATACAATTTTTGCCACAGTGGATTCCTGTCTGGCTGTATGCAATCAAGGGATGCTGTATTAAAAAGCTAGGCGATTTTATAATCAATCAAAAGAGTTTGATAATTCTAAAGGAAGAGACAGCAACCTCCCAAACCTGCCCCCTTCCATCAGAGGAGTCATGGGAAAAAAGCAGGCTGCCCTCTTGATTATGGAGTCCCCCAAAACTCTTCCAAGCCACCTGCTCACTGCCTGACCCCAGCCCCACTCTGTTCCTATCAGTTTACCCCCATGGAACAAAGAGGAGCATTCTCGCAAAGCTCCTGAGTAGACCACAAATGATGTGCTACCAAAATGGCCCCCTGTGCTTCAGTCGAGCTGACCAGCCAGAGCCAGGTTCGGCTGGGCCATCAGGTCAACCCCAGGGGCCAACCAGGATGAGAGAGACTCCAAGCAAGGATCCCACAGAGTGTGGCTGTGACTCCTGGGAAAGCATGCCAGGAACATCCCTGACCTTCTCTCTATCCCTCTGGGGTGGCCTGGCAAATGGGTATGGCTTCTTAAAGTTCCATGGCCCAGAGCTCCCGGGTGCCTGTGGGATCTCAACACTTCTCTCATTGCGTGCCCCAGGGAGGCCACGGCCTCAGGCCAGAAGGGAGGGACAGAGTCAGGTGGGTGGACCCTCCTGACGGTACATTCATTAAGGAAGAACGGCCACTGCCCGGCCGACCTAACCTCCTGGCAGGGGCCTCCCCCACTCTCTGTCCTCATGTGTGGGGATGGAAAACAGCCCCTTCAATTCACTCATTTCAGACTTTTTCAGACACTGACATTCATTCTGTCCCTTAAAGTTCCCTCTCTGCTGCCTGCTCGGGTGAAGTTTAACCTGATTCCAATTCTGCTGGCCTTCCATGAGCTGGCCCCATTCACAGGAGGCAGCTGATCCAAACTTGCATAAATTCTCTGGGGGTGGAAATACCTGCCTCACATACCCAAAGTTCATTGCTTTGAAATTATATGGTTATAGAAACTCTTCCAAAGACTTAGGTAATGTCTAAGGACTCCCTGAAACGTAAATAAAATGAAGAAGCATAAACAGAAAACAATTAATACTTGCACCTAGAAGAGCCAAGAAGTGTAGCTTGCATAACTTTTCCAAGATAAGGGAGGGAGAACACCACAGGCCCACGCCTCTCCCCACAGTCAAAAGCAGAAGAGGCGAAATGGAACAAGAGATTTACGCTTCATGCCCCATAAACAAGTAATGATCTACTCTAATTATGCATCTGCTTTAAACAGATACCAAACATCTCTGGAGACCGCAGAGATGCCACGCAACAGGGAACAGAGCCTGCATTCCCCCTGAACCAAACACTCTCCGCTAAGCCCTTCGGGAGATGTTTGATGCATCAGGATTTAATTGCTACTCAACGTCGGAATAAAGTTTTATTGAATATAGCCACGTCTATCTGTTTATTTACTGTCTACAGCTAAAAGGACAGTGTGGACTTAACCATGACGGAGACCATATGGCCCACAAGGCCTAAAATGCTTACTATCTGGTCCTTTCCAGAAGACATTTGCCAACCCCGGGCTCTACGTGATCTTTAGATCCAAGGTGGCTTGGGAATGCTCCCGCCTGCGGACATCAAAAATCTCTTAGTTGCTATGGTCCTCTCCCACACCTTGTGGTTGAGCCTGTCCTGACACACACACACACACACCACACCTGCCCCATTCCGCTTCCCGGCGCTTCCACCTCAGTCAACAGCGACTGACACAACATTACCACCCCCCTGAACCATCTCGAGCACATCTGAACCCCAAAATCAAAGTGAGGTAGGAGTGCCCTGAAAACTTGGCTATAGCCTGAGCTCCTGCGGCTCTCCTTTCCTGACGTCTCAGGGCTACCTTGCCACCAAGAGGTCCCCTCCCAGTCACCACGCAGTCTCCTCCTTCCTGCCTTCCGCCCTTCCTCAGCAGAGGGCACTTAGGAAGAAGGGTCCGACGGCTAGCTCACATGAACAGGATGAACACGGCAGACTAAACACCAGAAGTGTCTGCTCCGGCAGGAATCTTAGAATCTCAAGTCCTCGAGGTCGCCCGCAGCCGGCGCCCGCTGAACGCAGACTCTTGGCGGGGTTCCTTTATCTACAGCACAGCGCCCCCACATGGTGCTGAAGGGAAGCACAGTCTTCTCGAACACCGGGGGACTGAAGTGAACCCTCGCCCCGCTCACAGCCCGGATGCCATCTGTGAGAGGGCCCGGCGTTCAACTCGGTGAGGATGTGGAATCAATGTTATCCAGACTTCCACCCTCAGCTCCTTACAGATAGCTCCTCGCTGGAAACTTTACACCGAGAAGTATAAACTCTGACCTCTAGAGAAACTCACCAAACCGCAGCAAATGGGATTCAGATGTTTCCACGTACAGTACAGTGATGTGACCTAGACTTTAAACACTTTGGCAAAAACAGGAAAAATGATGTGGGCCTTCCAGTCCCTCCCAGAACATGATACAGCCTTGACCCGAGTCCTACGGTGATCTGAGCCTTTCTCACTCCTCCTTAAGCCTCCTCACCCGCAGCCCACATTCTCTGCCCCTGTTCCACATTAGCTCCTAACAGGCTGCCTCCACGGTCCATTTTCCTTGTTTAACCGAAGACGCCAATTTCTCCCAGTAGATCACATTCTGATCAGCACTCAGAACCGGCCTGCAAGGAGAACTAGTGAAAGCCAATCCTAGGAAATTACCGCCCCCCCCCACCCCGCCGCCCGACTCACGGAGTTCCTCTACAGAGCTGGGAGGAAAGCAGAAGTCTTACATAAAGACTTGGACCCCCAGGCTCTCTGGCTCTGCTGCAGATTCTCTAAGACTGGTTGCATACTGTGTGGGTAAGGGCTAGAGAATTCTAGACAGTGGAACAAGATAAGGCAGAGGTTGGGGAAGCAGTTTTCTTCTGCCAGGGAAGAACAGACACACAAGAGTATCAGAAACCGCTTCCCCAGAAGCCAACCAGGACAGAAGATACAGAAACAACTCCAGCATCTCATGCTCTGAGCCGATACCAGGCTTTCTTGGGGGCAGCCCATCTGCCAGCCATGCGCGCTCCTAGGGGGCATGATGGAGAAGCTGAGAAGCATGTGGCTGGGCACCAGTGTACAGGGATCAAGTGTGAGCAAAAGCAGGGCAGAGGTGCACCAGAACGGCCCCCTGCCCCTATGAGCGCTGTTACAGGTGCTTCTAATGCGGCCGGGCAGGGTCCCCGGGGTGGGGTAGCTACTGCCCCAGCAAGGGAGCTTCTGGGGACAGGAACAGGGTCTTATCACCAATGTAAGCACCCCCCAGGCCTGGCTGAGCATGGCTGCCACACACATACCTGCTCGTGGTATAAGGGAAGAAGGGTATGCACCCCCTCTCCTGGTTCTCACGGTTCAACTGAGAAGGTTAGTGGCCTGTCAGGGGACCCCATCAAACTTTCCTTTTCCGGGTACAGAAAGACTCGAGAGGACAGAAGGGAGGTGAATTCTTACTACGCTACCCCCACATCCAATAACAGATGAGATACACACCTATAGGTGTTCCCCGTGACACGCACACACACACACACCTGTGCAGATGCAAATAAATATGGGTGAAGTGCGCCTCTCGGTCTAGGGGCCCGATAGGTTTCGCCCCCACCGGACTTGGGCTCCCCTGGGCGGCTGCTGCGTATCCCCCTATGCAACCCCGGAACAGCACAGTCCCCGTGCACTTCAGAGGTTCGGTACAGCCAGGGGAAGGCACTGGACAATCAGATGCTTCCACTCTCACCCTCTTTGCTCAGAGACCCTCTGGAAGGTCTGGGCGGGAAGAGGGGAGGCTCCCTGCGGACGACGGGAGAGCACCCCTGGAGGCTGAATTCCCGCCCAGGCGCCGCCACCCCCAGCCCAACCTGCCCCGGGGACCACCCCCGGCGCCGCGACAGATCGACGGGCAGACCCGGAGGGGGCGCGCGCAGTACCAGGCCGCCGCCGGCGCCGCAGGCGCTGATTGAGACGAGGGAACCCGGGTGGCCGAGCACGCGGCCCGAGTAGAAGCACAGCTCGGCGGGCCGTCCGCGGCGCCCGGCCGCGCCCGCCTCCTCCACCTCGAAGCCGCGGGACAGGAAGCGCAGGTCGTGGCGAAGCTGCAGGTACAGGTCGCGCCCGAAGGCCGGCAGGTGCAGCAGCAGGGCGCGCTCGCCCGGCCGGACGCGCTGGACGGCTGGGGGCGCGCGGGGGCGCCGGCGCTTTCGGGGCCCGGGGGCGCCGGGAAGCGGCGGCAGGTGCACGTCGTCAGGACGCACCCGCCGCGGCAGCACCACCTCCACGTCGGCCGCCGCGTCGCCGACAGCTGCGGGGAGAGAGGAGACGCGTCAGCGCGGCGGGGCCCGCCCGGCCGCCCTCCCTCCGGCCGCCCGCCGCGCACGGGGTCCAGCGCTGGGCACGCCGCGCCAGCGCGGGGACAGCGCGGCCCCGAGCGGGCGCTCCCCTCCTTTCCCTCGCCGCGGCACCTCCGTGCCGGCCAGCGCCTCCGCCCGGGCCCCGCGCCACCCGGGGATGGGCTCCAGCGCGGCCGCCCGAGCACCTCCGGGGACTGCGGCGCGGCATCGGCGCCCGGAGACCCGGCGGCGATGCGGCCGCCCGGGAGCCGCCTGGAGCCCGGTCGTCCGGCCGCGGCCCGCACCCCCTCGGCCCCGAGCGCTGTCAGCGGTCCGCCACCGGACCCGGGCCGCGCAGGCAGGCGGGAGCCGCCAGGACGCCTAGGGAGGGCAGGAGGAAGGTGGCCGCGAGAAGCACGGGCGAGGAGGGGGCGGTGGGAGAGAGAGCGCTACCTGTGCCCGGGTCCAGTCCCCAAACCAGCAGCAGCAGCAAGGGCAGGACGAGAGGAGGCAGCAGGGCGCCGTCACACATGGTACTGGGGAGGAGCAGCCCCCCGGACGGTCGCGGCGGAGCAAGAGCGCGCGAGGCGGCGGCGCCAGCCGGAGTGAAGCCCTCCAGCCTTTGGAAAAAGTAATTAGCGCTGCGGACAAACCCAACGTGGTAAATCCCAAGCCCCGCCTTCTCCTCGGAAAACAGGAGGCGATTGGGCTCTCGCTTTCCCCTGCCCCGCCTCCCCCTCCCCCATTGGCTAGGACGGGTCTAAACCAGGGTGCGTAGTTAGGTTGTAAGCACTTTCTTACACGTGGTTTCTGGGCAGTGGCGGGGATGGGACACCAGGTGACGCCAGAGAGCCCCCTGGAGCTGCGCTCTCCTGGAGGACCTGGGAGGACACCTGACAGGTCTGCAGAGTTTGTCCTCCTTGTCACAATCCTCTCCGACCCTGCTGCCCAGCACCCCCAGAAGACAGGCCAGAAATCGTCCTGGACAACTGGTTTCATCCATAAAAGCATATTCTCTCTGCATCTAGAGTAAAACTAGTTTGGGTTGCTTGTGGCTGGACACTTTCTGGCACACCTGAGCTTGCACCTGATGCCTACGTACAATGCAGGAGTGTTTGGCCAAAGCCTTCGCACCTCCTGTCGTCTTTTTCCTCACAGAAGCCAGTAGTACAGGCGTGATCACACGCTCTTACAGACTGAGAAACTGAGGGAGAGAGAGCTGAAGGAGCTTGCTAATTACCCGGTGAGTTTCTGTCAAAACAGGAGCTAGAATTCGTGGTCCTGACTTCCAGCCTGGTACTGCTTACCACGAACAGCAAGCAAGAGGCTTCAAGAGCAGGCGTGTGTTTTTTTGGGGGGGGGGTGCTAGGAAACTTGCCTAAAGTGGCAAAGTCTGGACTTCCAGTTGAGTTCATGCTTTTCCCACCAGAATATAACTGAAATTTGCAAGGAAGATGATCCCTTCAGCTTGCGAGGAGCATCTTGTAGAAAACAAAACAGAATTAACTGAAGCATAACGGTTCTCAGGTCTCTGCCCCTCCCTTCCTTGTCCTGTTTTCTGTTTCTGTTTTATCAAAGCAGAGAGGTTACCATAGTCCTACTGGATTCTGCTTGGGGCCTTTCAGAATCTAAAATGTATCACAGGATTCCGTGTCATCAGAAGGAATCCAGAGGTGAAAACTGTCCAGCTTCCATGACATTTCATTAACCCTGGGAGTGGACTGCATCACTGGTTCTCAATAAAGCCCACCACTTTTACTACAGCAAACTTGCTGCTCGACGAGTCCTCCAGGGAGTGGCTGATGGAATCCTTTTCTGCTCTGTCTATCCCTGCCCTCCACAGGGGCTGGCCAGTGCCCGGCACTCAGCAGCCCATCCCCTGTTCCAGGGGAAGCCACTTGCCGCTAGGTACCACGCACATCCACATGCGTCCAAAAAAGGCTTGGCGCTTTTTCCCTCCCCCTTGACAGCAGCGTCAGCCAACTGCTGATGGCACAAGAAATCATGGGGTGTTTTTGGTGCAGCTTTGTAGCAAAAGAGCCACCTCACAGACCTGCCCCCTGAAAGCCAGGGAGCAGCCGCCACTCTGCTTCGCAAGAGCAATTACTTCTGCCACTGGAAGTAGTCCTTGTCAACCTATCAGATGATGCTCCAATGCATGAGTCCATAGGAGCATGCAAACTAAAGCACCAGGAAGGTACTGTCTCATCCCCCAGACTGTCCAAAATTAAAGAGCTGGAAAATATCAAGAATTGGAGAGGACATTCTCCTGCCCCTGGATAGGAGTGTAAATTGGCATGGCCACTTTAAAGAACAATCGGGCAAACTGTAGTCAAATCTAAAATGTACACAACTCTGGGATTCCATGTCTGGTTAACTACCACCAAGAAACACTGGCACACATTTAAGAATGTTCACCACAGCACCTTCTTAAGAGCAGACCTATTGAAAACCTGAATGTCCATCATTATATAAATGGCTACTAGAACACAAGGCATCGATTTAAGCTCATATTTATAACACCGTGGAGAGAACTCCAAGACTGGTTATCATATATTTTTTTTAAAAAAATCAAGTTGTGGAAGAATGCACATGAATGATAATACTTCCGTAAATACACACAGTATTAAATCATTTGTATGGTGAAATCCCAGGGAAAAGTCTGGAAGGATACACACTGAACTTTTTTAAGGTTTGGTGTTCTTTTTATATTAAATTGCAAGAAAAGATGCCATTCAGGGTCCAGGCAGGGTAATTGCTATCATTCTAGGTATTGCAAGCAGGGGAATTTAACACGGAGAATTGAGTACAAAAGTGAGGAAGAGTTAAAAAGGGGAAATTCAGTGATTATATGCTGCCCCCACCCCTGCCCCTGTGGTGCATTCCAGCCCCAGGGGCCTCTGCTTCCTGCTACACCACTGACCACACCATCACGGTTGGTTCTGGATCTACCAGATGCATGAACTAGACCGGGGCTCCGTGCCCATTGCCACACCAGCAACTTCCAACACCTGTTGCACTAGATACTTATCTCTGTTCCTTGCCATCTGATCTCCTGCCAGGGCCTCTTTTTGGCAGAATCTAACAGGAAGCCAAAGAAATGTAGGGGAGACATGTCAGGGAGTCACAGCATGTAGGTTGCAGACTTTCAGCCTCAATGATGAAAAGCAGCCCTTAGAAGCGAGCATGTGAAGCTGAAAGACAGGCCCTCTAAAGGTCTTAATCTGGCCTAGATGAGTCTGAATTCCCTCTGCCCTTCACCATTGTGTTCATCAGTCACCATCAGAAGTTTCAGCCTCCCTTCCAAAATGATCTAGTGTTTCAATACAATCCCTATCAAAATTCCATTGGCATTTTGCACAGAAATAGCAAAAACCCAAAATTAATATGGAAACACAAAAGACCCCAAAGAACCAAAGCGATGTTGAGAAAGAAGAACAAAGAGGGAGGTATCCCACTGCCTGGTTTCAAGCTATATTACAAAGTTCTAGCCATCAGAACAGTAGGGTACTGGCATTAAAACACACACATAGACCAATGGAACAGAATCAAAAGCCCAGAAATAAACCCAGGTGTATATGGTCAACTAATATTTGACAAGGCAGCCAAGAATACTCAAGGAGAAAGGACAGTCTCTCTGATAAATGGTGATAGGAAAACTGGATATTCACATGGAAAAGACTGAAATAAGACCCCTATCTTACACCACTCACAGAAATCAACTTGAGTTGGATTAAAGACTTAAATGTAAAACTTGAAACCATAAAACTCATAGAAGAAAGCACAGGAAACAGCTCCTTGGCATTGTTCTCGGCATTGATGTTTTTGGATGACACCAAAAGCACAAGGAACAAAACCAAGAATCAACAAGTGGGACTACATCAAATCTAAAAGCTGCTTCTGCGCAGCAAAAGCAACCATCAACAGAATGGAAAGGCAACTCCAGAATGGGAGAAAATATCTGCAAACCATATATCTAAGAAGGGGTTGATATCCAAAATATATAGGGAAATCTTACAACTTAATAAAAAATAATAATTTGGGGCGCCTGGGTGGCTCAGTAGGTTAAGTGTCTGACTCTTGGTTTCGGCTCAGGTCATGATCTCAGGGTCATGAAATTGAACCCCGCATCGATCTCCACACTCAGCACGGAGTCAGCTTGGGATGCTTTCCCTCTCCCTCTACACTACCCCCCACTGCTCGTGCATGTGTCCTCTCTCTCCCTCTGTCTCTCTCAAATAAATAAATAAATAAATAAAATCTTTAAAAATAGTAATAATAATCCAACTTAAAAATGGGCAGAGTGCCCAAATAGACATTGTTCCAAAGAAAACATACAAATGGCCAACAGGTGCATGAAAAGACGCTCAACATCACTCATCATCAGGGAAAAGCAAAGCAGAACCACAGATACCACCTCACACCCGTTAGAATAGCTGTTATCAAAAGGACAAGAGATCACAAACGTTGGCAAGGATGTGGAGAAAGGGGAGCCACACTAAGGAGAACAGTGTGTGGGTTCTTTAAAAACTTTAAAATAGAACTACCCTACGATCCAACAATTCCATTTCCACGGAGACATCTGAAAGAAGACATGACACCAGGTGAAATAAGTCAGTCACAAAAAGACAAATACTATACAATTCCACGTATATGAGGTACCTAGAATAGTCAAATTCATAGACACACAAGGTAGAATGGTGATTCCCATGGGCCAGGGAAGGGGAAATGAGAGGTGGTTTAACGTGTATGAAGTTTCCTTTTGGAAAGATGAAAAAGTTATGGAGATGGAGAGTGGTGATGGTTGCACAACAGTGTGAATGTACATAATGCCGCTGAACTATACACTGAAAATGGCTAAAATGGTAAGTTTTATGTTATGTGTATTTTCCCACAATAAAGGAATGCCTAAATAAAAAAAAAAATCGTTACCATTGGCTATGGTCTCAATTCATCTTAACACACACAAATAGCCTTGTCTTAATTTTGTGGAAGGGCGGGGCTTAATCCCATTTCACGGATGGAGCAGAGGGCTCAGGGTGAGGTTAAAACAAGACCAGTAAGCAGACAAAAACCCTACAGTTGGCAGTGATGATCTGAATGGGACGTAAGGGAAGCCATGCTCCTGGTCTGGGGGTTGAAACAATTTGTTGACAAAAGTTGACAAAACTCAACTTTTCAGCCTATCCACTTGTTTTTTGCGAACAGCTCTATTCTGGTGGGCAGTGGTCTTTTCTGATCATCTGGTCCAGCAATGCACCCCCAGCAGGTCGGGTATATTGCCTCTCTTGGCCTCTCTCTTCCGATGCTTCACAGCGGACGCTTGGGTTTGGGTGGCCATCAGAGACCATCACTGTTGTGAGTGAAAGCAAGACAGACTCTGCCAAGACCCACCATTTCAAAGCCCATACTTAGAAATAGAGCGCCCAAGACCCAGACCGAGCAGAGTATAAAGAGAGCTGTAGGCAATGAAGCCAAACCTGATCCCCTTGAATTTTCCACTCAGGGCTTTCTTGAGCTGGTAATTGGTGAGTCCAGGGGCCAAGACTCATGCGCAAATTTGATCTGTTTGTAGGTGGAAGGATGCCCCTGTACCCTAAAGAT